GCGGAGCCGCAAGAGCGCGGTCCCGGACCGGCCCTGCGGGGCGGTCGCGGCCGTGACGGCGGCCCCGGGCCCGGCTCCCCTTTCGCACCCCTCCTGCCGGAGATGAGGGGAAGATGTCCGTGTCAGGGCTCAAGGCAGAGCTGAAGTTCCTGGCGTCCATCTTCGATAAGAACCACGAGCGATTCCGCATCGTCAGCTGGAAGCTGGACGAGCTCCATTGCCAGTTCCTGCTGCCGCCTGCGGCACCGCCCGGCAGCCTACACTCGCCGCCGCCGCCGCCGCTCACACTCCATTGCAACATCACGGTGAGGCGCCCGGGCTCAGCCCCTCGGAGCCAGGCGAAGGCGGAAAGGGGTCCCCTGAGTTCCCGGACAAAGGGGAGTCGGTCCTGTAGAGGCCTCTTGGTTCCCGGGTCCCCGGCCGGGGCGAATCCGCGCCTTTCCCCCGGCAAGGGGCCCAGCCCAGGCCCAGCCTTGCAGGCTCCAGGCTTTGGTGGGAGGAGGCGGGCGGCGCATTTCTCAGCTTTTTCCGCGGGTCTGGGTTTGGGGCTGGTCCCCGTAGGTTCCCGTCTCCGCGCTTCGGGTTGGAAGATTGCGGCGGCCCTTTCCCTCCCCGGGTCGCCATGGCTCCCCACCGCCGGCCTGCTCCCGGGGCCACGCGAGGCCGGTCGGCTATGGCTATTTGAACCCCGGCGGGGAAGGGCCCTCCAGTTTTAACGCCTTACTCTTCAGTCAGGTTTTCCTGGTCCTGCTTATTCACCCAATTATTTTTAAGTTTGTGTTAAGGAAAAACCGCTATTGAAAACTAATGCGTTCGAGGGGAAAAAAGTTTAGAATGCAGCCTCTGGTACTGTTTGAATTATCCCCTTCCTGCTGGCCTGGCTCTGCGCGTACGTGTTTCTGAAAAGTGCTTTGTACCTGGATTCGGCAGGTGGTGGTATCCGTGTTTGCTTACATAGCTCCTCCTGTGTGTAAGTAATGAGTTATTTGCAGCCAAAAGGTTGCCCAAAGCCAAAAAGACGATTTAAAGCTTACTCTTTCAAGTTGGAAGCTTGTTAGAAACCCGGGACTTGGTAAGATAATTGAAATATTGAATGTTTTTCGTGACCGTGTGTGATTAAACTGTGGTGAAATTGATTTAGGGTATTGTTACAAACTGCAGAATATGGATGGTCCTTATAACAGGAGTCAAGGTGGTAGTTTCATGTTCCTTCAAGTCTGGTGTCTTTGATTCCTTTTGGTGAAGTCCTTTTGGTGCCTTTAGGCACCTGGCTACTCAGGTGCCTAAAGTGTGCCCGGTACTCCAGAGTTTGGAAAGGCCTTAAAGTTATGATAATTGACCTGAAAATAATTTTCAGAAAGAATATCTGGGGGAATAGGGTGTATTTTTGAAAGAAAAATAACAAGTGCTGTACTGAGGAGAGAAGCCATCTATTGAACATATAGGTGTTCTGTTCTAGGTTTTGACTGGTTTCTGCAAAACTGGACCACACATTCCCTGCTTTCAGAACTAAATCTGAGGGGAAGAGTTTCATATAACAAAGTGTTACCAGGTTCTCTGGTGTCATTCTGAAAGCCAAAGAGCAATTAATTTTGAGTTTGGTCGTGGGGTGGTGCTTCAGAGAAGGCTTTGGTGAGAGGCTGACAGTGGAGTTGGGCTGCCACAGGTGAGTTGAATCTTGGAGTGGAAGTGCATTTTAAGCAGAGAAATGCAATCCCAAAACACCAAAGCTTGAGAAAATGTGCTTTGCTTAGGAGTTGACAAATTATGGGGATAGAGGCTGGTAAAAGAGATTTTCCAAGGATGGGAAATAGGAGGTAGTAGTGACCATGACGGAGACTGGCCTGCATGGTGATTATTCTGGTTGAAGTTGGGGGTATGACCAGGAAAAGGTAGGGCTGGTTTGCATGATAGAGTACTGAACTTGTAGGCTGTGGGGAGGTACTAAATTACTGAGGTAGTAAGTTGGAAAAATGTGTTTCCCATCTAGCACTAGGGGTAGTTCACTACAGGTTTAATTAGTGTGTGATATTGGGAAATATGTATGTATGGTTTAGGTTATCTCAATCGCTTGTAGGATGGTGGTGCTGCTGTGCTGGCATTTAGTGCCAGGGGTCCATGGATGCCAGATGTCTTGTAATGTTCAGGCAGTCTGCCACAACAAAGAATTATTCCTCTTCAAATGCCAGCAGTGCCCACATTGAGAACCATACAATAGGCTGATAGGAGTAAGCTGCACACAAAGTATTGAGTGAAGACCCGGATTAGGAAGTGGAGCAAGGAGTGAATGAGAGAACACCCAGTGAAAGGAGGATTTGGTAGGGACTGGTATAATGGTACCACAGTAGAAACTACTCAAAATTATGACAGATATTATCCAAAGATAATTATCATGATGGAAGCTCAGTGTGTATGAATGTGTATTAACTTTTTGTGGACAAACATCAAACATACACAGAAGTTGAATAGTGTGAAAAACCTCCATGTACTCAGCCACAACAGTGATAAATTTTTGGCCAATCTTATTTCATCTGTACCCCACCTCACATTATTCTGAAGCAGGTTCTTGACCTGTCACTTCATCTGTATTTCAGTGAGTATCTCTAAAAGATAAAGACCCTTTGTCACTTCATCTGTAAATATTTCAGTGAGTATCTCTAAAAGATAAAGCCCCTTTAAGCATAGGTAAGTGTTTTTATAAAATCTGAATGGCTTGCTAATGTCCATGCCATTTTTTAGAGGGAAAGAGCAAAGAAAAATGGATGGATTTCAAATGCTACACGTATCTACTGTGTTTGTGAATTGCTATTCTCTACAAGGTTATAGCTCTTAAAAAAAAAGTAATGAGTTTGATCTATTCCTAATTTTTCTTATTTTCTCTTATTCCCAAATATTTATTGAGCTCTGCTGTATACCAGACTGTCTTTTCCATTGCTCACCAAGAAGCATACTTATGTAGTTTCTTTAACATTTGAGTGAGTAGTACCTCACCAGTTGTTTCCTTACACTCATGCATGCCAGTTTCTGAATAATTTTCTAAAGATACTGTGCCCCCTTTTTCTTTCAGGTTTCTGCATAAGTTTTTCCCAGATGGAATGTGCCCCTTACCCCACTCCAATCTGTCTTTCCATGTCTGACCATCCCTCAAGGCTCTTCTATGAGTTTATATTCAGTTTATGCTAGTGTTTATTTTCCCTTCCTCCCTTCTGTAGACCTTACTATTTACTGTTTGGGTTCTGTTGTTGTTTTTTACATGTTTTTTAAATGTTTATTTTTGAGAGAGAGGGAGACACAGAATCTGAAGCAGGTTTCAGGCTCCGAGCTTGTCAGCATAGAGCCTGACGTGGGGCTTGAACCCACGAATTGTGAGATCATGACCTGAGCCAAAAATCGGATGCCCAACTAACTGAGCCACCCCGATGCCCCTTGTTTTCTTATGTTTTGTTTATAATAGTTTTAGATGATTGTCTTTTTTTTTTTTTTATGATGGCAGGGAAGAATAGTCTATAATTATGCTTTTTATCTTCCACTCAGTAAATGCTCAGTAAATATCTGTCCTATTGGCTATAAGGCCACCATTTTAGCTATATTCTGTTTGAACAAAAATCTTAACTACTGTGTAAGTTAACTGAAGAGAGTTTGTCAAGAGTGCAGATATAACATCAAGAAACATTTAAATATTTAGGGGCACCTGAGTGGCTCAGTCAGTTGAGCATCCCGCTGTTGATTTCAGCTCAGCTTGTGGTCCTAGGATCAAGCCCCATGTTGGGCTCTGTGCTTGAGTGTGGAGCCTGCTTGGGATTCTCTTCCCTTCTGCCCTCTTTGCGCGCGCGCGCTCTCTCTCTCTATCTCTCTACCCACAATTGTTAAGATTTAAAAGGTCACTAGATAGGAAATCTGTAATTTGACTTCATATGAAAGACAGGTTTAAGAAGTAAAAAACAAAACAGATGTTTTACTGTATAAGCCAAAGGAATTGAACTAAATCTTTTCCTGTTATATAAATCTGTCCTAATCTTAAATATGAAGGGAAAGAATGCTATTTTCAATCTCAATGAGTCTTTCTTACTGTTTTCTGTGAATTCCTGATATGAAGGAGTGTCATGCAAACATCTAATAGCTAGTTAGCACTAACATCCAGTTGCTGTGCTCACACCTAAAATCAAAGCAGCTTGTCTTAATAACCTGCGTGGCCTCATTGGGAGCTAATACATGGCTTTCTTTTAGTCCTTTTGAAATATCTAACGTGACTTGGCAACTCCACTACTCCTTTTATGGACTTCTTGGCATCTGGTAACTCTTGGTAGGGAATCACTGTTTCAGAGTGAAAAATCCCCCCCCAGGATGTAAATTAGCTGGTAAACAAATAAAGCTTCATACTTTTATTGTTTGGGTAGCATAAACCATTACTCTTTCTGCATGAGTAGTGACTATTTGCCAGTGGTAAAATGTGTGGTAGCACATTTTTTTGTTTCGCTAATTACATTTCTGTTCATCATTGTGAAAAATTCCCTTCCCTTCCCTGCCCCCACAGCCAGACACTAAAATAACAAATGTTAGAGCTTGGAGTTTAGGTGAGAGAAAAAGGTTTAGTCTATACTTAGTAGCTGGGACCTTAAGCAAATCACTTCCTGTACTGTATTTTTCTATAAAGTAGATCATACTTTTTTGTCCTGCTTGAAAGCTTATATAGGAAAGCTCTTTATCAAGAATAATGTCCTCTACAGTTATGAAATTGATGGCTGAATAACATTTTATTTTGAAAAGTGCTTTCTGACAGATTTACATGGGAAATAAATCAGTGCTGTTAATTTCTTAATTTTTCATGTTTCTAGTCTTTACACTGACTAAAAAGTAGCCCCATCAAAGCTATACAAAGGTAATCATGAACAACTAACTTGGTTAAAGAGTCCAAGACTTTTTCTTTGGTCTGCCCTCCTGGGACAGATTACTTTTCCAAATTGAACTCCTGGAGAATCGTTTGGAAATAGCAGAACCATCATGCTGAACACCTTAGTGGTACTTTCGGGTCAGAGGAATCATTGTTTCCATTCATCTGACCAATTTATAGTATAGAGTCAAATTCCCAGTTGTTATCTATCTATCCTCCTTTATCCCCATTTTTATGCCCGCCCTTGAAAGAACAGATACATGAAGAGGAGACTTAGGTTTCCATTTTATGAATGGTGTATACCCTTAGTAACTTGATTTTTTTGTTAAACTTCCTTAGACCTGGAAAAGGATAGTATTAGTCAGCTAGTTGAGGGGTGGGGAATTGAATTGACAAACAGTCCCTGCCAAAAGT